AAACCAAAACAATGAGTTGAAAGATGCACCAGTAACAGAGCATTTCATCACATATCTCTCTGTGGGTTCATCACTACAAGCAGCCTCTTTCAAATAGGACCTTGTTAATATCCAAATATCTATTTGTGCAGCTTTAAGTAATAAAACGGTCCCCGCTCGCAGAGTGAAGTGGTTGGTTTGACGTCTGAAGCACAAAGTCGTGACATTATTTCATTATTTATTTTGCTCATGAGGAACCGTTCAGAACAGGCTGTTCTCGTCAGAGAAAGCAAATGACTGCCTGTTGAGCTGTGTCCCACACAACCAGGACACTCTGACTCGCTCCACGTTCACAATGACACTCAGACACTATTCGTGAATCTAACACTGGCTCTGAGGCTCCAGCAACACGGTAAATAAAATAAGTCTGTCTTCCCTCAAAAGTGTGTGTGTGTGTCTGTTAGTTGGACTGAGCAGGGCCAGCATGGAGGTTACACAAAATGCAAATTCCTGTGCTTGAAGCATTACTTAAGCAAGCACTGGAGAGAGAGATAGGGAAATGTTCAACCTCCTTTCCAAACAAATTCCTTTAATAATTCATCACTCTGCCTCAGATATCCATAGCCACCTCTGATTTGACTGTATAAACACAGTGACATTCAGAAAAGACCAACAGAGTTGTAGGTCATGTACGAGAAAAGTAGGATGAGACAAATCTTATCATGTTTTCCTTACGACTATTGAGTCTGTGATTTCGGCTACAGTGGCTGAGTGTGTGCATCTATGAGTTAAATTAAGCGTTCTAAGCTAAATGAGGGGGCCGCTCTGTATCTGAGACAACTATCATCCAGCAGAGAACTGGATGTTCCTTGCAGATAGAGGGAAGGGCTTTGTTTGTTGTAATGCCAAACAATTTAAATACACAACACAATTAAAACAGGGGAAGACCACGTTCACGTTGCCACTCAACCGACGACCCTCACAAACACCTCGTTCCCTCTTTTATTTATTCTTTGCAGGTTGTGCTGATCTGCCCATTGCCACACTGAAAGTGTATAGAGATGATTTATACTTCCTGTTGTTTATACTCTGAATGATTTATGACTTGTCACATTCAAGTGGAGTTGCATTAAACAAGGAACTCAGCTCAGATGAAAAGGCCGACAATGAGGAACCAGTGTTTGTTAATGTGGAGAGAAACCTGAGAGACTTGTTATTTTAATTCACTGCAAAATAAATTTAAATGCCAACACTAAAACAACTCCATACCAAATCCTGTAGTGATGTTTATCTGTAGCACCATCATCAATTAGATCCTGATTCAGGTTTGTCTTTCTCCACAAATGGAGGAAGATAAAAATCTGTAATTATCAGCTGGCTGCGGACGAACTTACATGACAAAATGAACCATATAATCATAGTGCTGTTGAAGTTTAACAGTGTAGATCCAAAGCTAGTAGGAAACTGACACGACTCATCTCTTGTCACCATCCCAGCTCCTCTTTCACTCAGACACGCTCTTTTGAAGCCCCTGAATCACAAAGAACACCATCTGACCCACCAAATGTTAAACCTCACCCCCTCCAGTCTCACCCCCTGACCACACACAGCATGCTCAAGTGCCCACAGCTTTGAACCCTCAACCGTTTCAACAGCAGCAGCCTGGACAGCAGCTTATAATCCTTTCTTGCTGCTCAATGTACGAGGCAATTCCAGTCACGGACTAAGCTATTTGCGAGAGTGCATATGCAAATATACCTGATAATAATAATAAATATAACACAGTTGGAGCAATTGGATCAGAAAACTGATCCCGGCAGGAAAATTGCTTGCACAGCGCAATTAGGAAAGAGGGAGTAAATAAATAAGTCAGGGGGGTTATGATGACGATAAACAGTGATAACAATTCACATTTAAGTGAAAAGAAAATTGCTCTTATGCAAATTTACAAAAAGGTAATGAGCGAGGTAGAATCGGTCTTTTTCTCCTCGGGTGGTTCAGTCCACAAAGTGAAAGTAAGGAGAGTTTTGTCCGGCTCAGGTCCACCGAGATCATGAACAGACGAGTGGATTTAAACAACAACCGAGAAGACTTGTGAGAACCCTGGAAAAGTGTGAACGTAGCCTCAAGGCTAACCGTTCAGTGTCTGGGCAGCAGAAGACTTAATAACTCAGGGAACCTCTGACTCCGCTGCTGGCTCGTCCATCTTATTGTCCAGTGATCTCCTGTTGCCCATGGTGACGGAAGAGAGATAACACTCGCCTCCATCAGTCCCTGTTGTGTGGAACCGGCCCTCTTTCCTCATCACTACATGTGCCGTCACCGCACAGGCCGGCTGGCTTCAGCAAGAACAAAGCTTTCTCTATTGAGAGGGTGCAGCTCAAACAAGTTACTCGTAAAAAAAAATTAATTTACAAGAATGAAGAAATAAATGATTGCATATAAATAAAAGTTTTGGTCCGAGCTTGAGTCTTGCATTAGGTCCAATGTGAACCACATCGGAACTTTACAATCAAGATTAGAGACATAAAATGCTTCGTAGGAACACAAATAAAATTCATGAGTCACTCAATCAGTGGATAATCTCTAAAGGAAACACTGCATCTACTGGAGCTACATGAACACACGCACACAGACACACAGTGTTTTCCTCGCCTGATACTGTGCCAGGGAAAAGGCAGCTGACCTTTCCAGGGAGCTGGCAGGGAAATGGGTAATGCTGCGGTCATGTTTACTGACACTGTATTAAGTCACCACTATCTCTGTGTGCACTGCCCTTCATTGTTCCTTAGGCGGAGAGGGCCGACATCGTCCCTTGGACCATTTTATACTGATGCTGCTGCCGCTGTTGTGGAAAAGGGCAAGTGTGCTTTTGCCTAATTAATCAATACACTGTTTCAACCGCGGTTTATTTTCAGGAGCTGCTTAACACTTGTTAGCAGACAGTCATGAATGCTTAACTGCTGTCTGGGAAGAGCGTTTATTACTTCCTCCAGCGACAGTGCATGTGTTAGATGAATATAAATATATAGATGAGACTACAGGCGTCCATTTACGAGGCGTTTTTATGTGTCCTCAGCTGCAGCACCGTGTGTTCTGTCACAAAACAGCTCGTTTAGAATTTGTACCCAAACTGCTTAAATTAGCTTTTTAATTTAGCTTCAGGGGATTTTACTTTAAAATTGGTGCAGAGACATGAATGATAATATTTGGAGCTGAATCACCTTGTTTCATTCATCCTTGATAATTTGCCTGTAGGTTGAAGGATAACTGCTACAGGTATGTTTTAGCAACAGGCCTGCAAATGTCAGATGCATTTGGATTCCAGGAAATTTCAGCCACATTTCATGGCTCTTTTTCATCAGCAGGTGGAGTTTGCTCCGTTGTCAGGGAGGTCTGTAGCTAAAAGCTTTTTATAATGTGGTAACAGTGATTATATACATTTGGCAGGGTCAAATCCCCCGTCTCTGTTCAGGTCTACTCAACCTTCTACAGGACGATTGAGCCAATTTCCTCCTCCTCTGATGAAGACCATGAAACGCAGCAGAAAGCTATAGACTGGATTGAGTTTTAATCATATTTTAAGTATTTGCCCAGAGTTAGATGATGACTAAAACAGAGATACGGCCGACAAGACTCTGAAGGTAACAAAACCTGCCTAACAACATGACCCTAACCCTGCCTAACAACTAACCCTAACCCTAACAAACACATCACACTTCATTGCTACACAAAACACTAAAAACAACAATTCTCTGTTGTACAAGACAACAAATATAATATAAAATATTCCTTTAAATCCTCGGTTCACAGAGACAGCAAACGCATAACAACTTGTCAGGTACTTGAAACGGAAAAAAGGGATTAAAGCATGAAAATAAACAACTCTACGCAAGGTTGTCAAGATACTCCAGCCAGAATGTCATTGGGAAAATATTTATACAAAGGTCCTCTCCAGTTACACATCCGCCATTTATTACAGATGCTTTAAGTATTGTTTGACATTATCCAGCCGTGTGTGGGGACTTTGCATAACACAGTCTGTGTCAGTGACGGGGGAGCAAAATATTCTGGGAGAGGACGAAGGCAACTCAAATGAAAATGAATGAAAACTGGAGGAAACTTTGATATTTATGAAAATATCTGACTCAGTCTTGGAGGTTAAAGCAGCTGTTTAGCCAAACATATGACATCAGATACTTCATCAGAAATAAAAGGTTTTAAATACTATTTTAGAACAAACACTAACTAAGGTTTATTATCGTGTAAATTTAGACGTTAAATATAAAAACATCTTGCAAATTACCTCCGGCTACTGTAACTTCCACTGTTAACATCCGTGTTAAAAACAACCAACCAAATTAAATTCAAGAGTGTTTCCCAGTTTCACATCCTTCACACATGGGCCTTTATTGAATCGATCAATTAAGCTAACTGCAATGTACAGGAGCATGTAAAGCAGATCGAGAGATCGATGCCTGCTGGTTAAAAACCAGATGGATATCCTGGTCTCATTAGGTTATGTCAATAGAGCAATTTCAGAGAGGGTGACCTGTGGCCTTCTGACTTTGATCAGCATGAGTCCTAACACCCAGCCAAGGCAAACACAGATGCATCAAGGGACGTGTAGTGCAGAAATGTGATGTTGCATGTGCAAGGATGCAGGAATCCTGCAAACACCAAGGAGCACGTCCAATCTGTGTTGGCGTCTGAGCACCGTGACAGGAAAATGCCTTCTGCATTCCTGTCATGTCATGCATTCCCCCGGCAATGTACAGAGGTGAGGTGAGGCGGGAGGGAGGGAGGGAGAGAATTAAAAAAACAAAAACAAGGGGGGGACTGACGACGTTAAAATGCATCACTTTCTATGACCCCCCCCCCCCCTGCCTCCAGTGTGCATGGGGGTTTTCCTCGGCTTTCCCCGAGAAAACCTCCGGGGAGGGGAAAGGAGTGCATGCGTAGAAATAAAAAAAAATTAAAAAATGAATGGAATGCAGCCACTTGTATCCGGAGCAGCTTACCTGCTACGGCTGCAGCATCGGGCAGATCGCTGGAGGAAGTGCAGCCGAGTACCGCATAGATGACGAGTCCACGTAGCAACACATCCAGCAGCGCCGAGAGGATGCAACTCATGGTGACAGGTCTGGAGCGGTGTCCTGTATCCGTGGGAGTGTGGAGGTTCCAAAAAATTTTTTTTTAAAAAGGCTGAATAGTGAATTTAAAAAAAAAAAAAGATGAGTCAGTTTTAAGTGGTGTCACAAGCAAAAAGAGAGACACCGGGTAAATGCACCACAAGTCCCCCCACCACCCCCTGCAGACGCACCGGCTAGCGGCTGAACCCCGGGCAGCCGGCGCGGACACGGAACCTGACGGGAGCGTGGAAGAAGGAATAAATCATGGTGAGAGCTCCATGAACGAGTGAGGACTCTTACTTTAGAGAAAAAAGAAAATAACCCCGTCTCTTTTTTTAAAAAAAAAAAGAAGAAGAAGAAGAGAGCGGGGGGGAACACGACTGTGAAGGCGGCGAGAGAGCGACGCACATGCAGCCCTGCTCGTCTGGAGGAACCCCCCCCTCCCCCCTCCCCGGTCCAAAACAAACAGACGCGGAACTGAAGGAGAATCGGTGAAGAACAAGCAGCGGAGGAGGAGGAGGAGGAGGGGGGGGGACCCAGATGTTGATGGGTTAAATCCGTAACGTGGGCCCGTGGGTCGGAGGCGAAGAGTCCTTGTACTTCCACGTACAGTACACAAACACCGGGGACAGCCTCAGCATAGTGGAGTGACCGAGCCTCCTGGGTCCGCCTCTTCACACGAAACTAGCAAATCCCGTCGCATCAAGTAAAAACGTCCGCGGCTTCTTCTTCTTCCTCCTCCGTCTCCCGGGATCCTCGTTTATCCGCCCTCCGGGGGGTGACGCGTGTGATTGTTGTTTGAATTATTATTATTTTATTTAAATCTTCTTTTTTTTTTCCCCCACTGCGTGTGAAAGCCGAGCCCCTCTCCTGACACATCAGCTGCTCCGCCGGCTGATGCAGAGGGAGCCGGGGGAAGGAAAGCAGAGCGGGGCCGGAAGTCGGTGCCCGGGTTGGTGTTGACATCACACCGGGAGGAAGTGGAAGAGGAGGAGGAGGGGGGGGGGGGGGTGCTTCAATCATAACAGCACCCAGTTATTAATATTATTATCATTATTGTTATTTACAGTGCGTTCTTCCTGTGGTGCAGATTTCCACACAGCGTCTGTATTTTTTATTTATTTATTTATTTTTTAATCAGGCCCTAAACTCCTCCTGAGCGGATGAATCCTCAAGAGGAGCTTCATCGAGTTTCTTCGTGTTTTTTTCTTCCTGATGGTTCTGACACCAGCTCCATTGTTTCCACTTCCTCACTCCGGCCCATTTTAAGTTTTTCCCTCCAGGTCGAGCGCCCCCATTGGCTGGACTGTCCCAACATGGCAGAGCCTGATTGGCTGCTTCAGACAGCACCGGTCGCTTTTCAAGAAGCTCAGCGCGGGAAATAAAGTGACTAGAGTACTACTGCCTTCATCATTCTTATTATTGTTATCAATCATTATTATCATTTAAACAACTCTTCTGTTCAACAGAGAAGAAGACACGTCCTGACGAGAACTGTCATACATTATATCATATAAATACTACAGTGAACAATGATCATTTTCATTTCACTTGCAAAAATGTACTGCGGGATTATATGGAAAAACACTTCCTATTACTTCACTGTGCAAGCACATGCAACCTTTCAAAATAACACATCTGTCTTTACTTTGTTTGCTTTCATTTGGGAAAAACGTCAATTTAGGATGAAGGTTTAAATTGGACAAGTTATTAGAAGGAAAGAAAAGAGTGATTTCTAATTGCTGACATTTGAGCCCATGATTTTCATTCTTCTAAAAAAAAAACATGCAATGACAAATTTATTGTATATCTCAATGTCAAAGAGGAACTTATAAAAAAAAAAAAACTACATGAGCTAGTGAACTGACCAAGAGATCAGAGACTTGGCACCTCACTGCTACCAGAATTAAAAATGACCTTCAAAACCAGGGTTTCCCCTGATGCGTGTACTCGACTGTCAGGGCCATCCTGTGCAAATTGAGTTTGGTTTAATTTTAATATTAGACTATTTGTGTCCTTGTGTCAAAAACAATGGGAGTTTTCATGTCAAGGCTCCAACACAAACAAATGAGCACAGACGGCAGGATTGTTACAATTCTGGTCTCATTATGCATTTGCTGCTGTAATAAATTCATACAGATATTTTGAAGGAAATTAGATTTGATTGCAAATGTTTACTAAGTCTAGAGGTGATTCTAGTCGTTACGGTGCAGACAGCGGGGAGCCTGAAGCATCTGAACACACAATCTGAACCACACCTAAAATGACATTTTCAAAATCAACATTCAGTTTGCTAAGACATCCTTAAATCCTCAAGCTTCATAAATATTAACTCAATTGTTGAAAGTGTCATAAGACAGGTTGGATAAGAACAATATTTCTACAAGAAAACCCGTCTTCACAGAGTGTGTTGACCTCAGCATTGACAAACACAGCTAATGTGTTCCAAGAGAACGCCCAGGTAAAAAAATAGAAAAGTTGATCTTATTCCAGTTTCGATGGACAGCACACGTACGTCTTATTGCACATTAAACTCTCCTGCTTTAACCTTTAAGTCTGTAACATTTTCACTGTTCACACCGTTAGTGAACGTAAGGGGTCGACTGCATGCCACTCGGACATAATACTGCACATTGAAGGAGCTTATTAGGTTATTTATGATTAATATCTAGAATAATGTTTCTGATAAATATTTCTGATGTATTTTTCATTTTGAAGTGTTCTTTGTTAGAACATGACAACAGACATTTCTTAGGCATAAACAAGCAACACCGAAAACTCTTAACTTCAATTGTATGTAATTGTAATCGAGCCAACAAACTTTGGCTTGTCTCAATATACTCAATTTGATACGGTTTGAAAACCGAAACTCATACACGTTGTGAGTCATTCTGTATAATCAGTAATGAGAGCACACAACCACAACATCAAACATCTTATTCAGGTCAGGCCTTAAGGAGAAATCGTTCAGCGACAGCCAGACTCGAAGTGTTGATGGACACAATGTCCTCTGTCTTGCAATGCAGCACGTCAGCCACCAGGAGGGACTGCTGAGTGAGCGATCTATGCAGCAGGTACTAGTTTGTTTAAGGAAGAACAGACATTTGAAGGGGGCCAAAGGAGGTGCATGCCTGATAAAAGAGTCGGCCGTGGGAGTCCTAGTAAACAGGTGGCAGATGTAGCAGCAACCGGGAGACGGCGAGAGAGACGAAAGAGAAGAACAGCATAATTCGATACGAGCCCTCAAAGGGGGCAGAGGGAAGGAAGGCAGCCAACGAAAGAGGGAGGAATAGAGCAGATGCTACATGTGGGAGGAGGACTGTGGGAAGGGGGACAGACGGCGAGTCCAGAAAAAAAAAATTCTGCTATCTGTCATTTACGGATTCCACTTTTACTGAAAATGTCTGCGCTGAACTTAAGAACAGTACACCTTGTACAAATATTTACCCTGTCACAGAAACACAAAAATACTGAGCGGTGGAGCAGGAAAGATCAGGCAGCGTCTACCGAGGCCAAACTTTGAAAAAGCTGTCACACATTTCAAAGTCTAAGTCACTCAACGTTTTGTAGAATAAAGTGGAGGAAGTGATTCAACAACATTTTATTTGTTTAAATAAAATATGTGTTCATGAGGTTGAACATTAAAATGTGTTGGATGGAAGACATCGGCATTACTTGACTAAAAAAATGAAAAAAATGGAGGTGACGCACACATTATCTTTAAACAGGACATATAGGTGAAGACATTCAAGCATTAAATGCAAAATCTTAAACAGTAAAACAACCATAAAAAAGAATAAATAGTGGCACTGAAGGTAATAAATGCCCCTGGAGAGGGCAGTAATATCAAATGAATTAATAAATATAATACATTATGTGAACAAAGCAGCTGCTTATCATAGTTTTATTAGGTTTGTGTCCGTTTCTCCCAACATGCTGTCACGGACTTGACGCTTCATTAGTGACAGCGTTAGCGAATGGTATTATAACAATCGGGAGCAAAGGAGCAGAATAAATTGCAAAGAGCTAATTAACACTTCATTAACCGAGCATGGAGACATTACTGTTGTTCTGTCTCGCACGCTGCAATCGTAACAGTTCGTGCTTCTCCTAATGAGCTGCTCAGCAGATCCCAGCGCGACTGCTTGTATCAACTTTCCTGCAGGGCATATGGCTTATGGAGGTTAGCTGCACCTTAATAGTCTGTAGGCTTTACTTATATATATGCTGTATAAGATCTAATAACACGATACAGAGTATTCATTATATTTGCTGCATACATGCTAAAGAGGAGTTGAAAGATTTGACTTGAAGCACTGCAAGATGAGGTGTGTGATGCCAGTGTAGGTTATTACTTCACAGTGGAGTCGGGCGTTTCTTGACAGACGATTATATCCATATTGTGGCTATGGCATAGTAGAGTGGCAATTTTTTTTATTGTCTCTTTAACGTACGTACCACGACTCGTCGGCACTCCTCAGATGGCGGTGGCGAACAGAGAGATCTGGATGAGAGGCATAACCTTCAGGGTTGAAAGGTCAGCGAGGACAGCCTGCAGTGTGTGTGTCAAACAAAACACAAATGAGTCAATTTCAAATTCCCCCACCCCTCCTGACCGCAGCAAATTAGCATATGGAGACGGGGCAATAATGAGCAACCTTTCCAAGACACATGTTTTAGCATTTAAAAAAAGAACCCACACAGATCTACACACATGATGAAGCAGGATCATTGGGAAGCGACAATCCATGCTTAAAGTGTCCACTGCTCCCCACCTTGTCCTTTTCGGATGGGTGGGAGATTAAATTTAGGGACCCTATCGTGTTTAGAGAGAGGGTCTAATATTACAACGCTGGGCCTGAGGGTCTAAATATACGATAAGGAGCAGTATGTTATGATATCTTCTCTATCTGAGGGCAGGTGGTAAATGAGCAAGCAAATAGTGCCGGCCAGCATCTTAGAACAGCAGATAGGCCGCTGCCACATGTGGCACATTGTAGTTTAACCCCCTCACTCTCGGGGATGAGGGAGGCGAGGGAGGCAAGTCATAATATGGGTTACTCCTGGTGTCATATGATAGTGGGAGCACAGTATGGGTGCAGTATACAGTGCACAAGAATTACATTACTGTAAATCTTGCAACATGAGTTCCTGCAGAAAAAATTTGAGATGGAGGTTTTTGGATGTGTGTTCGCCAAAGTTGCATGAAAGAATTCAGCGTTTTTTTAACACGACTCTGCACAGAAACATGGCCGTCGCTCCTAATCGTGGCTGGTCTGAGACAGAATGGACATCATGACAAGCCTGTTGCTAAAAGGAGGCAGAAGACTAAGGTTGTGTTGGCTGGCCAGTGAGAAGGTGAGAGTTCTTAACTGTCCAGTTTTTTCAGATGTGCACGCAGGAGACTGGGTTACTGGAACTGGCTTGTCATCAATGGCTATTTACAGCCTTTCAAGAGTATGTGGGAGGTGCAGAGAGAGGGGTGGAATCAGGGGTTTCAAACACACACACACACACACACACGGATGTCCAATGTGAAACAGCCATACCTCAGCTGAGGCCAGTGACGTCACCTCCATCAGGTTTTCGGCGCGGAAGGCGAACACAGCAGCTGCGAGGACTGGAGGACGTGTGAGTAAGGGGAGTAATTCAGGGAGGAAAGAGAAGAGGAGGACAGGACATTGAGGAGTGATATAAGAGAGGATGGGGGAAGAGAGGGGTAGGGCAAACAAAGGAAGGAGGTTGAGAAACATTAGGATAGGAGAAACAAGATATGTGAAAGAGAAGGGAGTGCATGAGAAAACTGGTCATCAGTCAAATTATTGTACTTTAATGACAAATTAAAGAGTTTTGCAAGTATATATATATATATATATATATATATATATGCCTACCTGCAACGACCTCTAGCGAGTCGTATCCCAGGATCCGATCCCAGAGAAGAAGCAGCTGGTCAGTAGACAGATATCCAGAAAAGGCCCTCACCATCCACTTAAAGGCGATACGCAGCCTGGATGACAACACAACAACAACAAAAATTGAAAAATCACACACAACCTTTGAAAGTCTCATGTTTAAATTCAATATACAGATCACCTGTAAGCATGTAAATGTTAAACAAGTGATGATAAGGGCTCTTTTAGTATTTTTTAAATTGTAATTCAAGAAAAGCGCCACATGGTGGCAGCAGCTCATAACGGCAGGACTCAAAAGTATCCGTGTGCAAGTTAAATATGACTCATACACCGAACACACAACAGGTGAACATGTAAACATCATGAAGTCTCAATGTACCAGAGAGATTACAATATAAAAAAGAGCGTGCATCTTTTAATCTCATTCACTCGAGGTGCTCAGTAAAAGATACAAGATAAAAAAAAATACACACTTTTCTTTATTACTAACTTTTTAAGAAGAATTTACTGCTTCAGACATGTGCACGTGGAGGACGTATTACAGATGTCAAGTGTCTACGGCAATAAAAGTTGTTAAGACAAAATGTCCCGCACATGTAACTGGAAACAAAAACATTTTAATGTTCATGGCAGGAAATAAAAAAAGTGCCCAAATAGGTTTCCTACATTTAACTTCATGTTTGACACATCTCTTGGAGTTTAAGTGAATTTATCCCAATCAACCAAAAACGAAAAGATTTGTCGTGTTTTGTTTACGTTTGTTTCTCTGTCACTTGTGTTGTTGTTCGATAAATAGTTTCTGTGAGGTACATCATTCAGTTACTACTCACGGCTGTGCACCAATCTGTCGCAGGTGGTAGAAGAGCTGGGGCAGGTGGGTCTGGAGCAGCCGCTCAAACTGCAGGCACAAAGACACTATACCCTGCAGGAGCACGTGTGTGACCGGGTTAGGTGCGATGCATTGTGCAAACTGTGCTGTATAATTTGTGCTTGACATTTAACAGCCAGAAAAAAATCCAGGATCTTACCGAGGGAAAGGAGGAGATGGAGTGTAATCTGAAGAAGAAGCGGGTGTACATCTCCCTGAATACACTGTAGAGCTTGGACGGCTCGTTGTACAAGAAACACAAAGGGGCCACTGTGGGAGAAAGATGCACACACACACACACAGTTCACAGTTACATCCTGCTCACTCGGTGCTCTTTCTGGAAAAGCAGCGTCAGCTCAGTGCATCGACAGGTTAATACAAAACCTACTCACCGTACATTGAAAAGCCATGGAACGGGATGACACCTGTTTAAATGAAAATTTCAAGTCAGTGCAATGAAAGACATTTATTGTTTTAACAATGCAATTAAGCAGAAAATGTATTAGGCAACAAGTATATGTGCGACGACTGAAGGTTTCTGTACGAGTGGTTCTAAAAACAAAACTTTTCACTTTGCCATCACTCAGACACTAGTGGAGCGGAGAGGGGACGCAACTCGGCTCAGGTACCAAGGAAAAGCAGTGTCTGAACTAACATGGATGAAACCGGACTAAAACAGGCCCAACAATCCGACTGACTCTGAACAGGCACAGTTTCATTCATTTTGATTTCAGTGTAAGTAGATAAAGCTAAATAATGTTGATGTCAAAATGCAGGCTGACCGTTGGGAGGATAAACAACAGCACACTCCTCTTCTCCCACTTTCCCTGTAAGACAGAGGAGAGGAAACAGCATGTTGGTGGTTTAATTCAATTTCACTTCAATTATTGATCAAGAAGGACGACACACATTAATCAATATTTCTGTTTATGTGCCTGTGTAAGTTAGTTAGCTGGCTTGTTTTCAACTGCAGTCCTGAGGAAAGTGTTTTGATACCAGGTAAGTCTGAGTTTGATCCATTTGAATGATTCAAATAAAGACAAAAAACATGAAAGAGAGAACTGGAGCAATAATAAGAGAGAGCTGACACACCTCAGAGGTAGATGACAAGAAATATCATCAAAAATCTAATTATAAGAGAAGTTAAAAATGTTCAAGTCTGACTGCTGGGAATCCAGATGCGGTTCTGTCTATGTGTTGATGATGATGGTGGGGGGTGTGTGTGTGTGTGTGTGTTCTTGGTGAAGGGCACCTCTCTCACCCTGGATGTAGGATTTGGGAGGGGTGGCACTGTTGTATTTGAAGTGCTCCAGCACAGCGGTGTCCCGGGAGAAACACAGCAGCACCTGGGAACACGCAGGGATTGAACAGCAGCTCACACACACACTTGAAATCTAACGACCACTGGAATGAAACAACAGATGTGACATTGCCCTTCTCCTCTTCTACTCTCCGAATCACAAACCCTGGCTTTTGATAAGAACCGATCTAAATCCTTCGACATCAAAAACAAGTTCTGCAGATCAAACCTGAATGAGCAGAATTTTAGTTCAAGTAGATTGTGTTGATTCACAACTTGAATGAAGATGTGATCATGATTTAAGACAAATTCAAAACTGAACGCAGATGATTCTTGTCATTGCACATGGGTTGGAGGCTCAGCAGGTACTGTTGTCGTGGTCCGACGTCAGGGGACAGAGGTAAGAGTAGTTAATAGACTTATTTTTTCTGTGATGTCTTCAGGAGCCGTGGTTCCTCTTGGGTAAGAATCCCATTAAAGCAGCGCACCTGGAGCCGGCATCTCAGGATGTTCACAGGCAGATGGTAACCGAGCCTCAAGTGGCCGCTCATTTCACAAAATGACCATGTAAGTGGTCGCTCTTTCCATTACAGCCCAATTCCGGTGCCTTTTTGAGAACAGGTTTCATTTCCACTGACCACTTAAGATGAATTACAGTGAGAGGAGGAAGAATCTGTCTGGGCAATAATGACGCAGGCAGCCTATGAGGAGGATAGCATGCGTCTTGACCATCTCGACGTTGGATTTTTTTTCTTTGGTTAGGAAATCTGGAGGGTTGACGTTCGTACCAGATGTGTTTTGTCCGATTGCATAGATCAAACACTGTCACTCATTCTATGAGTGAATGTAAATAGGCTCCTTTACATTGATGACACTGCTCAGAATGTGTTTTCTTTCTACTTCACGTACAATTTCTGGGTGTAAACTGCTTTCTTATGAGACAAGGACATATTCATCGTGTATTTCCTGCACTGAAAGGTATTAAGTACTTCCGTAGAGCAGCTCATGTTTTCACTCCTCTCTGTCTGCAAAAACCACTGAACAGATTTCCACGAAATTTGCAGGAAAGATAGGACATGAGCCAAGAAAAACCTGAATCAACTTTGGGGGCAGATCTAGGATTGTTTTTTTTCCACATTCTGTAACTTTCTCAGAAAAGAAATCGGGCATATTTGAAGAATGTGTCTGTAGGTTCTCTCTTAAGTAACCTTCAGGTTTTTCATTTATTTAATAAACCTATATAAACTCACGTGAGGGGGATTTCTCTCCAGAACTTCCTTTACTTTTCTCTAAATTCTCAACAGCACCCGTGTGAATTCACGCTCTCCCAACAATAAACAGATTCTTTCACTGCCTAGTGAGTAACATCGGTCAATATTGACAGGGATACTGACGCTTTGTACTTGCTACACCTGTGTGTTCATTGGTCAACCGCCAAGGAGCATGACTTGTTGACAGCTGCTGAATAAACTGGTTGCCAGAGTTTATATATATGTGTTTATCAGTTGAGCGGTGAAGGCAAACAGAGCGGTGACGACCAGAGAAGCAAATAATAAGTCATATCCTTGCCTGAGCTGAATATGCACCAGTAGATAAAGAGGAATGCTGTCATACATTAACTGACCTTACGTGACAGTGAACTGACACAAAGTCAGATGTTCGGGGCAGAGAAATAAATCTTTATTGATGATTGAGATTTTTATCGAGTGGAAGGAGACGACAGAGCAGTGATGGTGGTTTCATTTGGTATTTAGGAGTAGTGGGAACCAATGTGGAGAACAGTTAGCAATTTCTGTGAAGCATGGCCCAAGGAAGAATCTATTAAATTTTGGAGTAGATCCAAATAACAGTGACTGAAAAACCTGACATTTAATATTTGCGAGCAAATTGAACGGACTTCAAGCAAAAGTGCTGCTGAAAAGCTACACTGGGCAAATAAAAGGGCTCACCTGATAGAGGAAGTCTTCAAACACAAAGTAGTAGTCGTCGTTACTGGCGGTGAGCTTCACATCCTGGGGGGGCAGGACATTGGTAATTTAATTCCATTTCATTAAGACAAGCACATTTTTACAACTAAACACAGAACATGTATACACAGACACCGTGTGAAGCTTCTATGAAAATACTTTGCTATCAATGTTTATCTTACGCAGAATAAATGTTTGAATGACAGGACCAAAAATATTCAAGCTTTAAATATAATGTCGCTTAAACAAACATGTGCAGTTATATACAAGCAGTACCTTATAGATAAGGTTGTCCACCAGCAGGTCGTGTTGAATGACTCCAGCCTTCAGCTGCTCATAATGCATCACATCCTGAAAAAAGGCAAAGATCATGTTTTACCCTCATTCATTCCACAAAAAAAACCCATCACCCTCTTTAAATCACTTTCACATCAACATCATGTACTTTCCCTGACAGGTCACGACAGCAGGATTAAACCGAGCTGAAAGGATGGGTATTGTGTTTCCGACCATTTGCTTGAACTCTAACGTGTCTCCGGTTCTGGACAGGTTATTGTTAATGATTTGAAAAATAAAAGACAACAGGGTGGATGGAGAGATTTCAAAAACAGAGCTGTGAAGCAGCTTGGCAACGATTAGCGCTGCGGATGTGGAGAACAGGAACAGAGGTGGTCATTTTGACAGCTGAGTAACGACACTGAAACCACTTATCTGGAAAGAAGTAAAAATAAATTTTGATAAAGCATTTGAAGTTTATAAATATATATCTCTGCTACTTACAGCAGTTCACTTTGGATATATTTATAGAGAATAAAAGGCACAAAAATAGAAGTTAGAAGATCAATATAAGATTGATAAATATGAGGGGTTCTGTGATAGTCAGTTATTTTTTGTTTACGTCAACAGGAGTCCTTCACCTGCAGAAGTAATTGTCATTAAAATGAGACCAAGCATACTGTCCAGCTCTGAGTGTTTAATGTGTTTGCCCTTGTGTCGCCCAAAGCCCCGCAGATACTCTCCAGACCCGTGTCAGGTCTCCCTCAGAAATCAATCTCCCCATCGAAAGTATTGTTTTATTGACTTGGCCTCGACGGTCGACTCTGGACTCCAGCGTTTACACAGCACTTTGCCACACAGGCAGGCGGCTGCTTTGTTTGGGCTAACTGTGCTAAATTGCCAGCATTTGATTATCTTAGCAACTGGAGCTGCAGCTGAAAACTTCGGCGTGTAGTAAACACGAAGTTTGGGAATCGATGCAGCTGTGTGTGTGTGTGTGTGTGGCTGCTCTATAACAAACACTGACAGCTGCCACCGGGTTGCAGCTCAGCCGTGTGGTGTTTGTCCGTTTGTTGAAAGTACCGGAGGCTGGTTGGTGGAGTTCAGGATGAGGGCCCACAGGTCCGCCCGGAGCCCAGTGGGGCAGCCCTGCCTGCTGTACTGCTGCGCTGCTGCACTGTCCTGATCCAGAACCACTACACAACACAGAGACACAAAGTGAGACACGACAGAGAAAGACAAACAGGAAGAGGTCACGACTTTATGCATAAACAAATTCACATTCCTGCTTCCAGTTAGATGAGTTCTTAACCTGAGTGGAATGTTTACCTGGATAGAGTCAGGCTCACTTTGTCCCTATTCCAGTCATTATGCTAAGCTAAGCAGCTGCTCACGCCATAAACTACACAATATCCTGTACTATATATACTACATATATATGAAATACTGTACTATACACAAAATACTGTACGATCTATATATGCTTTATACAATATACTGTACTATATTTACTACATATAAACAAATACTGTATGATATATATATATTCTAAATATCATACTGTAACTGTGCTATATATTCTATATATGCAAAGAATACTGTATTATTTATACTTTAAAATACACTATACTATGTATACTACATATACTATAAATACCATACACCATATTGTAATATGTGCACAAAATACTGTACTATGTATACACTATATATACTATGAACATACTAGACTATATACACATGATAAGACTTTGTACAATATATAATATAGAACAGAATTGATCAAAAGTTTCATGACTGAGTCAGAATTGTTTTCTTCAAGGGAACTTGAAAAAGAAAAGATGCATCCAATAGAACAGAAACACAAATAAATGAAATAAATGAAGAACCATACAAAATCATGGAAAACACATCTGACAGTAAAAACTCCCGGTGGGTACTAATGTGAAAATGTTGGCTTGTGCTGTGCCAGCGTAACATCTGTGTGTTGTAAACAAGGATTCACAATTTAATTCAGTCCCTGTGAAAATGAATAAACATTAATAAATATCATAACACAGACGTTCCCATAAGGGCAATTATTATATAACTTTCCAAAAACCACTCAGACATGAGCTGGAAACAAAATCTTCAGCATCTCCACTCAACCCTAAATCTCTGCTGTGACAGTAGCTAGAAACACTTTGACCGGAGGTGCTGGTCAGTCATAACATAAACTAACACACTCCGCGCCTCTTAAATTTTCTATCTGAGCGCACTTAACACTTGGCCTGGACAACAGCTCCACGTTTGGGAGCCAACCAAGGCTGAAATATCAGGCAGGGATCTCGTGGCTGTGTATATAAAGGAAAGTCTGTATTTTTATAATTGTGTGGATTGATGTCTGATCGGTGTCTGTACTAAGGTCGGTGTTTACGCTGGGTTCACAGCAGCACAAAGAGCTAAAAGTTCAAACCACTACAGCACCTGAGCTGATTTTCTGAGCTTATTATACGTGATGGTCAAACACATCAAGCTCTGTCCTTTACAAATGTTTTTATATGTACGTCTGTTGTAGAGTGAGAATGTTGCAGGACATTCAAATTAATATAAAAATCACAAACGAGCTGCTGATGACTTCAGATGACGTCATGATAGAACCCAAAACCCTTCACTGTTTAAATACCACAATCTATTATCATGAACATAAAACTATTAACATAAACACTTACCCTTTTTCCCGATTTGAACATAGTCATTTTCAAACAAGTCTGCATGGGGTTAAAGAAGAAAAGGAACAAAAGTGAATGCTCGGTTATTCTAATGTTATCTCTTTGTTTTCAAAAACGCACACAAAGTGTAGATACGATTTAATTTAAAACCCCAAAAACCAGAATGTAAGAAAGTCAATATCTGAAGTTGACAGATAAAATGTCTGAGGACTCATAGGCAGACATGTGAAACAAGAGTACACGCTGATATGAGGCCAGTGAGGTTTATACAATGTTAAAGCCAGTCATTGTTAGGTAAACAGATTTATTTCTGATCATTCACAGGCAGCAGAAGAAAAGGTTGTGTTCAGGTTTGATATTAAGAAGCTGCTTCAGCTCGTGTTTGCACTTTGTGAGAATACCTGGAGGAACATGTGCATGGTCGTCAATCCCCAGCTGCCCTGTGGTCAGGTTAAGCTCTGAGTAGGCCTGTCTCTGTTAGAAGAGAAAAAAGATTTGCAGGTTTCACATCCATTGTGCACTTAATGCGCTGAGGTCACCCTGAGGTCACTAATGCACGAAACACATGGAAAAAAAAGAGACAATAAACAAGCAGTAAAGTTTAACCAGACATCCACATGGGGCCCTACCAGCTGTGGGACATCCCTGACATTGAGGGGGACCTGGATGAGGCCCCAGTGGCTCCTGGCACCGACGTCCTCGCTGCTGTTGTGGTTGGGGTTCCGCAGGCTGATTAACACCTGTGTAAAAAAGCATCAGTGAAGCCTAGAACCGTTCATTTCTCTAATTTAAACTTCAATCTTCAAAACAAAAAGAAACTGCTGATGAATGTTCTGAGCAGCAAAGGATCTTGTTACCTCCAGAAAGTCTTTGGGGGCATAGACGGGCCTGAAGCGGCTTAAATCTGCAGAGAGACACAAACACTTAAATACAGTGGATCTCAAAGTGTTTCTGGTATTTTAGAAAACAAAGCATAGAGGAAGCAACTGATACAAAAGGATCAAAGCTTAATCTCAGTGAAATAAAGGTCAGGAAAATGACTTCGTCAAACTTTTTCACTCGCCTGGTCATCCTACACCCCCCTCCAGTAGCAGCTCTTTTAATAAACAGTTGATATTAAAACTTAAAGGACAATTCTCCAGTTGACAAATGTACACACTGTTTATATATGAAATTTCAGAACCGGTGAAGCGGCTATAAAGAACCTAGACTACACAAATGTATCCAGATGTGAAGTTCGTATCATCAACTTGAAAATGCTTTTTGCACCCAGAGTTGGCAGCTTCTACAAAAGTCAGAGCTGAGGAAAATTCAACCGGCTCTGAGTGGAACTTCCATCTGCTGTCGTTGTCACGCTGCAGTAAAATCAAGTACCGTGTCGTCCCCAGAACGAGGGGGGCGTTACGGCTTTGGATGGAAGATGTTAGTCCTGCTCGTTATTGCGGCTCCGTCCAAGGAGTCTGGACAGCTTCTATATTCACAGTCCAAAGTGTTTACAGCCGGGGGACAGCACACAGTCCTAAATGTTATTATACGCCGCTGTCCTGTGATAGCATTGCTATTGACACAAGATTACCAAGTCCTTTTGAAGTGCAAGACACTGGTTCACTGAGAGACAATGACTGAGGAAACCAAGACAGAACGTACTGCACAAGCTCCACTTAAAGTGTACTTTTAAAACACACTCGAGGGCAGTCACATTAACCACTGACGCAGCTCGCTTTTCTGGAGGGGCTGTACGTGAAAACACAATGAGCATGTTTTTAAACACGCAACTGATGTGAAACTGGAAGATTACAAATGTCTCACAATGAAAAAGAGGTGTCATAAATGTGGAGGACACAGACTAAAGGGTACATTTGCACTCAACTGTAGATATGAAAACAGAAAGAGCCTTCTGCTCATTCTCCGCACTCCTTTCGTCCATTTTCATGCATGACTTCTGAGAGCTTACAGATACAGAACAACGAAATAGCCAAAATGGAGCAGTACCCCCAGAAGTAAATAAATATATGACCCTGACAATCTCCTGCTGTGTTCATCATATATGAAAGGAAAACTCCAGAAAATGTCCGGCCACAAATTTTCGCCGTGTATTTTTCTCACTCTCGCTTTTATTGCTGCCTAAATGGTATAATTTGAACCTTTATATGAACAACTGTCAGTGAAGACGAAAAACAGTAGGAAGCAGCTGAAAACTCCTGTATCTACATTACAGATGTCACTGAGTTGATCATCTTTAAGAAAAACCTCCCTGGATAAATACAGGCTTCAAAAGCAAACATTAAGTGGTAGATCTCCTGCAGAGATGTGTTAAGCCGATGTTAAATACACCAGCTTCTGAGTGATGCAGCAGTTTACAGACACATCAACAATAATCTTTTATAAAAGCCAGATCGCTCGGGGGCCAAAGCCCCTGGGTAATGTCTCCAGACCTGGTTCATCTGTGCCCATCTCGTTCCATTTGTTAGTGAGATCCTTCTGCTCCACTGCAGGCCTCTGGAGTGGGCGGAAAGAGAAGAGATTTCAACAAACAAAATACCACAAAAACAGAACAAATGCTGAAAATGTCACATCGTTAATTCTTTGGTCATAACATGTGCACAGAACCAAATAGCAATAACGATATAATGAATTAAGCTGGGCTCAGACTACAAGGGTTTGAAAATCCTGACCGAGTTTGAAAGGTCGCATTACGCACGAGAGGAGAATCTTTGCAGAAATTCTTCTCTCTAATCTCAAACAAACACATACACACACATACACACACACTGCAAGAATTGAAAATAAAGGCACAACATACACAACATTATTCAGATAATCCAGAGGCAGCGACCCACCACCCCCACGTCAGCTCTTTGACATGATCTCATGAAGAAAACAAACACAGCGGAAACTGGTGCAGCACAACAACTTGCTGGATCCGTAATAATGATTTGCGGTGATATAAAATGAAAGCAGAGGAAATGGTTGAGGGGACCAGATCAACACGGCTCGAGGTGGATTTTAATTGTGTCAACACATAACAAGGCTTTCCTCCACCTCAGCTGTCCACCACACTCGTACAGTAACATGTTTGAAAACTAACAGATCATCTGGGCCGAACATCGGTACTGACCAAGGTCCCAAACCAGATTTCTCTTCCAAGTGTCAGGAGTCCGAATCGGGTTTAATCAGCCTGAAATTGCTGTATTCTGAGCCCAGCTTATTATCAGTCTGAATCTAATTCATTATTTCTAACTCATGACTCTCAAAGTGAGCCTTAGTTCAGAGCTCAGTCACTGTGCAAATGTGATGCTATAACAATAGAATGTGACAAAAACGTAATGTTACGATGGTCTGTGCCGTAATAAAAATGTCATCAGAGAGGGTTCATTAAGAACTTGTGTAATAACGCCATGACAAACATAAGTGACAAGTGTCTTAGCTACCATGCGGGCCAGAGGCACCCCCAGCTCGGTGCTCATGCTGTTCAGGCTTTTGAGGACACGCTTCTCCCAGCTGGCCTGTGTGAGACAGCAAACACACACATTTAGCCTCAGATACTGTTACAAATGGCTAAGTTATTTTTAAAAAGGCAGGCCAAGTCTCTGAGTTCAGCAGCTAAAATGATTCAAGGAATCAAGGAAGTAGAAGAGGAAGAGATGAGAAGTGACAGAGATGAGATGAGACAGACTGACCTGTGCCTTGCGCATGTAGGCCAGCGGCTCTTTGAGATGCTCAGGAGGAGCCGTGGGATGACTCGGGGGCAGCTGGCTGAAATAAGCAAAAACAAGAGCAGGGTAAGAGGTTGAGGAGCATCACAGTACACTTTGTAGGAGAAAACACATAAAAATGCCACTGTGTTTTCACCAGGCGACTGACAGATGTGAAGGACTGAGGCCAATAAAGACACAAACAAGTCATTTTGAAAACAGATAAGTGCACAAAAGAAGTGAGTTGTCAAACTAAGCATAAATAAAATGTGTGGATTCTTCTCTGCCAAAACTTCTGCCCTGCGGCCATCGTCTCATGTCTTCTCACAAAGAATGTTCAGCGCATATTGAATGACTCAAGGTCTCAGCATGTTAAACAACGCTCAACCCTAATCTAAACACCTATAAGAGCACATAGGGCCGACTAAAAAGAGGGAGCCATTAGTCAGTGTTATATGTTGTCATTTCACAGCAAAGCAATATTAACCTGTGGTTCAGTCTGAGCCTACAGAGAGAAACAAGGGTACGTCGCCCTTAAAGGAAATGATCCATGTTTCAATTTAACCAACAGGTAAAAGTCTCTTGATGAGCTCAGTTCCAGTGTTTTTTATTTTGTCAAAACTCAGAACACAGTAATAACAAGAATGGCACTCAGAGCACCAACAATCCCCTTAAATTCAATCGAGCTTTACCAAACCGCACACAGTCACAGACATCAGTCCCCTGAATGTGCCTAATTGTTTTCATCGAGATCAATGAATTTCTCTGGGGAAATCACTGGCAGTGTCCAAGAACACAGTTAACTGGAAATGTTAAAGGAAGTGATGGAAGAAATGTCCTGGATTTGTCCCAAAATAAAATGGATTCTTTCTTCAACAATGTCTTCTACTGAGTTTTGTGGGAAACTGTTCAGTGGTTTTGCAGAATCCTGCTGACTCCAAAACACAGGGTTGAAAACAAATCCCTTGGTGGAGACCACGAGGGGTAAAGATGATTAATAATATACATAAGGTCAGCTGAAGGACACTCGACTGTTGCAGGAGCAGAGCAACAAGTTGGACCTGTTCTGCTGTCACTCACTCTCTCTGTTCAGAAGCATGCTTTGAATATCTGAGACACAAATATTATTTTACAGACACTGAGTGACTTTTACAGAGTAGAATTCTGCCTGATGTGCAGCTACATAGACCGAGATCAAGAGCACTCACACCTCATGATAAAGAGATGCAACTAAATCAGGCCTGAGACAAAGATACATCAAATTTATCATCATAATGAATATGTATCGACTGTATTTTAGTAGTTTAAACAACCAACATTTGACCTCATTGCTCTTGATATGAGTGCAAACATATATGGATGTGAATGCTGAGATCATCTCCGCACCACTGCGCTCGTGAGGTTGACAAACAGTTTACAGACATTTGAGTCAACGTTTTTAAACAGAGGTAAGATTGATTACTTATGAATAAAAAGAGCAGATCCACTCAAGCAAACAGACAATGCACAGGTTATGTTCAGGTGAATAAAACATTACTGTTAAATAAATGTTAATTTAAGTTCAGCAATCTAGTGTCTCATTTGTTAACAGAAGCAAAAAATAAAAACAACACAAGCTCAAATTAAGATATCACCCATAAACCACTGCATGAATTTGGACATTGTACAAACAAACTATGGGTCGACCACTAAAATGTATGAATATACACATTTGTCAGTCCGATCAAGAAGATGCACTTTGATTTGCTCGGTGGTGTTTGAAGGTGTTTCCTTTCATTGTAACTGAATAAGATCGAGGAACATGCAGAAATATCTACAGAGCGTTCAGCCCGTTCAAAGTTAAAAACTGCATCGATGTCATGCATCACTTGTTATATTCACTAACATGACGAGCTGCTTCATTCAAACACTGTGTCGTGGGTTGTATATAACTTACACGTGCAGCTCCCTGTACACAGCATTCTGCAGCTTCCTTTCCCAGCCTGTGAGAGGACGACACACGTCACACAATCATCACACACACACGCACAACAATAACACACAACAACAACAACAACAACAACAACACAAAAGGCAAACAGCTGATAAAATGTGATTTTTTAGAAATGACTGACCTGATGTTTTGAGGAAACTGCGGACGTCTTCTTTGAGAGACTCCAGCTTTACTTCAGGCTGATGTAAACACTCCTGGTACACAGAGGCAAAGCACAGGCGGACATTTTAAACATCTTAAACGCGTGTGGCTGCTGCGTTAAGCTAGCAGCTAGCTGGGGTTTGGCGTTAGCCACATGCTAAGCACTCACTTTGGCTTGTCTCTCTATCTGGGAGTGCAGGTGACTTCCTTTGAGCCGCTGCACGATGTGAGCGATGGTCACAGACAACTCGCTGCCTTCGTCCATCGTCTTCGTCCAAAAAGCACTCGGAGTTTTTTTTTCTCTGGGTTTGTTTTCCTCTTAAACCTGCACAGGTGTTTTATTATTGTTGCTGTTCACCAGCAGCCGGAAGCAGCTTCCTCGTCCACCACCAATCACAGTCCTCCCTGCAGAGGTTACCTAGCAACTGGGGACGTTCGTGGATCGAGCGGGAGGGGGGAAACAAACACCCGGGAGTTTTTTGGTTCCGGGCCTGAAAAAGGGTTTAATTTAAAAATCCTGTTCAACATCTAATCATGTTATAGATACACAATCATATTATATATACACTCCCCATACATGACACTGTACATAACACTTCCCTTGTATTTGTTCTTATTACTTTTAATATTTGTTTAACGCACTACATTTCCCCATGGTGGAGTTAATAGAGGATTATCTTAGCTTATCCGATGTGAGCTTTGCTTACTTTAGCTTTGTGTGACTTGGCTTTTCTTAGCTTAGCTTGGTCCAAAGTGATTTAGTGAAAATACACACATTCCTCTCATAATAAGCTCTTTAAATACAGTCTATGATAATAACACGTTTCACACGTGACCAAAGTTTATTTGTTCGTTTCAAGAAGTCACGACAAAAGCAGGACAACACAACAAAAAGCAGCTTTAAAACACGAACCAGGAAATAAATGAGACATAAACACACGTTGCTTTGGGTTTAAAATGTGGTTTATTGCGACATTTCGACACAGTTTACGGGTTTTTCTTAGTGATTCTTCCGCTTTACCTTGCCCTCCGTCTCACGACCGCTTCCTGGTTGGTCAAATGGCGGGAAACAGGGTGCGGCGTGTTTAAATACAGGCCCGTAAATGGACCATACCAAGTGCTGCACCAGCGGAGGGGGGTTTCTATAGAGTGCGGATTCAGTTGCCGATTGATTAGCCAGTAAATATATATATATATAAATGTAAAGTCACAGGTATGATAGGGAGAGTTTAAAGTTTCTTTTTTGTTTGTTTGGTGAGATCAGTTGTTTGAGTTAAGATTTGTATATTCAGTATTGTAATTAAAACCAAACTTACCCGGAACATGAACACTTGAACGTCCTGTGTGATAATAACTATCTCTATAATAACCTGATCTTTGAGGAACATTTATTTCACTTCAACTTGTATTTGTACTTTTTGTTTGTTTAGGAGGAGGTGGTATTACGAGCCACTCTCCGGGGGGCGTCCCTCTTTACACACAGTCTATGGTCAGATAAGGTGTGTGTTGTGTTTTCAGGATTCTTCGATGTGGTTTCTCTCTGACTCCCATCTGTGCTTGATCAAGTTTATTTGCAATGTTGCATCATCGGGCCGCTTATCTGTTTCATTCATCTATCACATGACTCAATGGATCATTGAAACGTTCCAACATGTCTGAGGCTTCCTCCATCTAAAGACAATAATTAAAGGCCGACACTGTATTGGCTCTTGCAGGGAGCGGCACTGTCGTCAGAACATAGGAATCTTTTGAAAACAGGCCACAGGAGTTGTTTGTGTGCAGGTGAAAATCCAGGACTTGACTCCACAGGCCACAGCTTCTAGAATGTTGCAGTCATGACCACATGAAATGCCACAGCAGGGAACATCATGTTCTGAATTGAGTAGCATGGACTCACTGTGGGTCCCCAGCAGATGATTCATTCTACATTATGTTGATTCCAGCCATGCACCATGGTGTATTTGTCTTTCAGTATCTCCTGGGAATCAGATGTGTGCCACTTTGTGAAATGAACAGTATGAAGAATCAAGAAAAATATCAAATAAGTTGTCCAGTGAGAGCTGTGAGTATCAATCAGTGCAATGATTTACAACCGGGTGTTTCTATATTTAGAAAAAGTGAGATGCTAACTTTCTCAGACAAGTGAGGGTGGAGCACAGAATGTGACCCGTCCACATGTTGTCAGGAGCTGGATATGCTGAGCACTGCTGGAGCGCAGCGCACCAGAGCGCACGGGACCTCAGGAGGCAACACACTCCTCTCATGAGGTCCATCTCGATCATCAGCAAATAGATTACAACTCCTTGTTTAGTTAGTTTGGATATGATTTGTCCTCTGGAGCATTTTTCTTCTGGCACGTGCATCACGAACGCTGCGTCTATGACCTGAGGCTGCAGGAGAGCGCGCGACATGGAGACGTTCACGATACAAGACGTGCTCATGAACTCCACCGACCTCAACAAGATTCTGTGCAATTTCGGGATAAAGAATATTTCGGATTGCGAAGAGGAGCGCGAGCCATCGCCCGAACCCCAAGGTACAGTTGTCATTGGTGTTACTGTTATGGACTATGATGCAACAATCACGCATCAGAAAGAAAAATGAACACGTTTGTTTAGATATTTGCAATTTAATTTTTTATTACAAATTTACGCATTTGTGGAATAAGACTGAGTCATTTTGGGGCTTTTCTTTGTTCTGCTCCAGTGCGCATTACGCATGTGGCTCATCTCCTCCACACAGCTCATTTGTCACTATACATTATAATTGTGTCCATGTCAAATGAACAAAACTTATATTATATCCAATATGACCACAATATAAAAACTTTATAATTGCACAAGCTTTATTTTTTAGGATAAAATCCAAGGAGAAGGACAAAACACCCTCAGAAATTCAAACCATGCACAGTGACATTTGGAAATTACGCCTTCACATGTCAGCTAAAACGTCCAACTTTGCTCCATTCTTCACTTTATTATTATCAAATGTGTTACAGATCATGTCCAGATGTTGTGATGTAGATTTCCAGATGATTAGATTTGCAACTGCATGATTTCATAGAGGAAATTCACACAAATATAGATCTTTAATTTATGTTGTGTTCCATCCTCATTTCCTCTGACCCAGCGACATGATGTTTACTCCTCTGTGGAAATCTCACCAGTGTTACCTTCATAGAGATACAAAGATTACTCTTATAGACCCTGTTCTTGCAGATATATACACTATTCATGTTGTAATTGTCGAGCAGGGGCTTGAGAAAAGGCCAGATTTTAGGAGGTTAGCGTAAAAAAACATCATTCTGCAAATACTGAGCATCAAATGTTGTATGCGACTTGAGATATGAAGTGATCGTGCTGATAAATGAGGATGGAGGGAGTGTGAGAGAAAGCAAGAGGGAAAGGATGAGTCAGATAGTATTTAGGTCACGTTTTAAGAATGACCCTGTGCCTCCTCCTCGCTCCTCTCCTCTCTCACAGATATCAACCAGACCGTGCGGATCTTCCTCTACAGCCTCATCTTCCTCCTCAGCGTCCTGGGCAACAGCCTCATCCTCGTCGTGCTGGTGAGGAACCGCCGCATGAGGACCGTCACCAACCTCTTCCTGTTGTCCCTGTCCATCAGCGACCTGATGGTGTCCCTGGTCTGCATCCCCTTCACCCTCATCCCCAACCTCATGAGGGACTTCATCTTCGGAGCCGGCATATGCAAGCTGGTCATGTACTTCATGGGTGAGAGGATTCAGGATATTACACCTCACACTGTGTTACTGCAGGTCGGAGATTGAAGTGCGTCCTCAGTCTTTTCTTTTCAGGTCTGAAATCCTCAGCCGCACTTAAATGTGAATTTCATCACAGTTCATCATATTTCGTAAGGCGTCAATCTGTAACACAAAATTAAACGATACAACTCAAAAGGAAGAATAGAATTTAAGTTAAGTCTCATATAAAATATTGTCGGAGGGGTTGGATAAAGTCAAAGCACCTCAACCACACACTGATAGATTTATAAGTTATTATAATGTTCATGATTCTGACAATAAAATCTTCACTGGGGTTCCGTGTCTCGCCCAAGGACACTTCAGTATGCAGACTATAGAGGAGGCAGGGATCAAACTCTCTGGATAATGGACGACCAGCTCTGCCCCCTGAGCCACAGCCCATTCTAGACTATAAATAGTTAAATTACGTAGATGAACCGATCTATCCTAAATACATCCAAGATTTAGAAAAGCAAATCACACATGAAAGCCATACATACAAGTATAAATTATAAGATAAGAGAATCCTTTATTCGTCCCACAAAGGGGAAATTTGTTTTGTGATAGACACCAACCAGTTTCTCAAAATCTCCCCAGCTATAAAATATAACAGTTTAA